ATATATTCTATATATTCTATGTATAGGGTTTATTTGAGCACACACAGGGAGAATTACAGAAGGGTTGAACTGTAATTTTATACCACTGAATGTGTATCTACTCTTACAAAGGGTAAAGGGCACCTGTCATTAAGCTGACGTAGTGGACCTACATCATATCATCTGCATAAGTTTGAGTTAATAAAATAACTCCAGGAAACAAGAAAAATACTAAAGAGCGATATCAAATACTTACATATCTTCATTCTTGTAAGCTTTTCTCTGCTCTGCTGAAGTTCACAAGACTAATGTTATGGCATTGATCATGTGGTCTCAAACCTGTGCAGGCAGAGCGGTTTATTCAGGGGCATAACTAGAAATCACAGGGCCCCACAGCAAAATTTTGTATGGGGCCCTGTGACTCTCTCTGGTGGGCTCTGCAGGGTCTCAGGTGGGCTTCACACCTCTTACCTGTCAGCGCCGATCCGCTGTCTGCCTCCATGATCGCTGGCAGGCCCTGCCTCCTCCGTTGCCAGGCCCCATTTCTTCTTCCATCGTTGGGCCCACCTCTTCCTCCGCTTCTGACGCCGGGCCCAGCCTCCTCCTCCACAGCTGCTGGCTGTCACTGACTCAGCAGCGGCTGTGAGGAGGAACTCGCCGCTGCACAGATCACTGACAAGTTGTCGGTGATCGAACAGTGACAGTTGCTACCTCACACCCGCCAGTGACAGCCAGCAGTCTGAGATGCCATAGCAACCCAAGTGGCCCGCACGGCATCAGGGGGATGTCCTGGCCGGGCCCCCCTGTGCCCCGGGCCCTATAGCGCCCACCTGGGTCGCTATGGCGATTGTTACGCCACTGTGCTTATTGGTTGGCTCTGCCTTACAGTCCTTTTGGCAGTGATCATGTGACTATTGCCAGAGGATAGAAGAGTTTACGGGAAAAGAATGGTAACCATTTGACTTCTTAAACTTCTTTCTTATAACAGTTTTTTTTTAATGATTTTGAAATGCTTTATTTTATGCCATGTACACATTTCGTATCTTATCGTTGTAGCTGCAAGCATCCTCTGTATGCGCACACTTCCGTACCCCCAAATGATGGTAATTGTTAATTACACCTCCGACAGGGGACTGTAAGAAAAAAATGGTTTGTTTGACTTAATTCATCACCTCCAATCCCATAGCCAGTGATTAAACAATGAAATAGAAGAAGCACATTGATAAGGTCATCCTTGCACAGGAGGTCTTCCCTCCTGTAAGCATGTCAGTGTTAAAGTGACACTAAACTCAGGAGGTAAGTTTTAAAAACATTAAAATGTAAAGTAGCCACCTCTCCAAACTCACTCCTGTGGTGAACTACAATCTCATGTTTAGCTTACTAATTTGGATTGAGATTGTAATCCATCACGGGAGCGAGCTTAGAGCGGTGACTACTTTGCAACACACACAGGGACCATGGGGAACAAAGGAAGGACAGTGTCAGCACCAATTCAGAGGATCTACAGGCGAGTGATAACAAACATAAGATACATTTTTGTTAATACTTAGGGTACTTCAATACATTTTTAAGACTTCCATCTGAGTTTAGTGTCACTTTAACACTGACATGCTTACAGGAGGGAAGACCTCCTGGACAAAGATGACCTTATCAATGTGCTTCTTCTATTTCATTGTTTAATGCAGGGGTGCCCACAAGGTCGATCGCGATCTACCAGTCGATCGCGTAGCGATCACTGGTAGATCGCCATGTCCTCTCCTCCCGCCGCTTATCGGGTTGTCGTATCCCCCTCTGCCCGGGAGAGCAGGGGGATCCAGAGAAGTTGCAGCCCCCCTGTGCGTGGACGAGCGGCAGAGGATCGTTACATGTCACTAGTATGTACCAATCCTATGTATAGGACAAACACTGGAGCGATCGGCTAATCACTCCAGTGTTTGTAAATAACTGGGGACACATAGTACTATGTGTCCCCAGTTATAATGAACAGGCTGTGATTCACATCACCTCCTGTTCATTCATAAGTTTCTCAATGGGGAGAAGCACTCTGTACAGAGGCTCCTCCCCATTCAGAAATAGCTTGATAGTAAAATATTACACGCCCATTCCCGCCCCTGAATGCAGGTGTTTTTTCGTTGGTAGATCTCAATGAGCTCGTCATTTGAAAAGTAGATCTCCAGACGAAAAATAGTGGGCGCCCCTGGTTTAATGGAAAAATTGCAACTGTGTGGGTAAAGGAATCATCCACTCGGCCAAGCTTCAGTATCTTGCTAGTCGGCCCCGCTGGCTGTAACAAAACCAGAACAATGCCAGCATCCAATCAGATTGTTCAGGTATTTTGAGAGCCAGCGGGGCCGACTAGCAAGATACTGAAGCTTGGCCCAGTGGGAGATTCCTCCATCCACACAGTTTAGCGTAGATGGAGGAATCTGTTGCACTTTTTCCATTTGAAAATACACTATATTGCCAAACGTATTGGGACGCCTGCCTTTACACACATGAACTTTAAATGGCATCCCAGTCTTAGTCCGTAGGGTTCAATATTGAGTAGGCCCACCCTTTGGCGCTATAACAGCTTCAACGCTTCTGGGAAGGCATCCAGAAGGTTTAGGAGTGTGTCTATGGGAATGTTTGACCATTCTTCCAGAAGCACATTTGTGAGGTCAGGTACAGATGTTGGACGAGAAGGCCGGGCTCACAGTCTTCGCTCGAATTCATCCCAAAGGTGTTCTATCGGGTTGAGGTCAGGACTCTGTGCAGGCCAGTCAAGTTACTCGACCCCAAATTCACTCATCCATGTCTTTATGGACCTTGCTTTGTGCACTAGTGCGCAGTCATGTTGGAGCAGGAAGGGGCCATCCCCAAACTGTTCCCACAAAGTTGGAAGCATGAAATTGACCAAAATGTCTTGGTATGCTGATGCCTTAAGAGTTCCCTTCACTGGAACTAAGGGGCCAAGCTCGACCCCTGAAAAACAACCCCACACCATAATCCCCCCTCCCCCAAACTTTACACTTGGCACAATGCAGTCAGGCAAGTAACGTTCTCCTGGCAACCGCCAAACCCAGACACGTCCATCGGATTGCCAGACAGAGAAGCGTGATTCATCACTCCAGAGAACACGTCTCCACTTCTCTAGACTCCAGTGGCGGCGTGCTTTACACCCCTGCATCCAACGCTTTGCATTGCACTTGGTGATGTGAGTCTTGGATGCAGCTGCTCGACCATGGAAACCTATTCCATGAATCTCTCTACGCACTGTTGTTGTGCCAATCTGAGGTCCACGTGAAGTTTGGAGGTCTGTAGCTATTGACTCTGCAGACAGTTGGCGACCTCTGCCCCCTGTGCACTTCAGCATGCGCTGACCCCGCCCTGTTATTTTACGTGACCTACCACTTCGTGGCTGAGTTGCTGTTGTTCCCAGTTGCTTCCACTTTGTTATAATACTACAAACATGTGACCATGGAATATTTAGTAGCAAGGAAATTTCACAGATGGACTTATTGCACAGGTGGCAACCTATCACAGTACCACGCTTGAATTCAATGAGCTCCTGAGAGTGACCAATTGTCTCACAAATGTTTGTAGAAGCAGTCTGCATGTCGAGGTGCTTGATTGTATAGACCTGTGGCCATGGAGGTGATTGGAACACCTGAATCCAATGATTTGGAGGGGTGTCCCAATACTTTTGGCAATATAGTGTAGAAAATATGCAGAAAACCTGTAGGTGTATGTCTAGCTTAACTCAGACTAGCTGAAAACAATATATTGTCAAGTAAGTTGTAAGAAAAAGTGCTGGGTTTTACACCTGTATTTTTACTACAGACAACCCATTTAGATGCAAAGATACTGAATCATTTATAAAAAACTAGAAGTGATTGGAATATCGCATCACAAATGTCATGTGATGAACGAGTTGGTGCCGTCAAAAGCTCCACTGAAATCTTCATGACAAATTCCAATAATATGAGATACATCAATAATAATATGGCACAACATGGCTGCCATACATGTCAAAGACATATTAAAAATGACACTCAGCTCTGTAATTGCAAAATATGCACTTTGTGAAAACACGATATACAGGCAGTTCCCCGGGTTACAAACAAGAAACGGACTGTAGGCTTGTTAAGTTGGAACAGGTAAATTTTTTAAGTGTAACTCCAGCCAAAAATGTTTTTCATTTTTGGATAGCACAGGGAAGGGTTAACTCTCTGTAACATTTGTCTTGCTGTGTATACCCCTGTGTATGCCCCTGTTCAGAAGATTTCACCTCACTTTCTGTCCCTGTGACAATTGGATTTTGAAATTTTGGGATTGTCCTGGAAACAAAGATTGGTGATAAAGCTTCAGTGGAGACACCTTTTTCCGATGATAATGCTTACAGCAGTAAATTTCCCTTCTTAGGGCTAGATTTCCTCTCGCTTCCTGTTGTCTTAAGGACAGGAAGTGAGTTTAAATCTTTCTAATGAGGATACAGACAGCAGTGAAAACATCACAGTGACCCGAAAGAAGAGGCAGGCAACTTCCTGTAATGTACGTACAGCACTAACAATCAGACCCAAAAAGGCAAGCACTCATCGTCGGCACGAGCGTGGTAGCATTACAACTACTGAACTGCTGCGCGGTACACTTAAACTGCAGCCTGGGACCCCCTGCTGTACAGTAATAGCCTCCGTTTGTAAGTAGGGGTCGTATGTAAGTCGGATGTTTGTATCTCGGGGACTGCCTTTACTTTCCTTGGTGAACATGCCTGAGAAAGTGTGCCGCCCCAATAGGGGCATAGAATATGAGATG